TAATTCTTATAAATGGTTTATTAAATTTCTCACTCATACATGAATACAAATTCAAACAATCTAAAATAAATAATTCTCCACCAATCTAGAGCATGACTCATAAGAAGAGGCAGGAGGGAATGATGAGAGAGGAGGAGAGAGAGCACAATGATACCTTTGCACGAAGCATAGCTTTGAGGTTATGAATGTCATGATGCAACCGGGACAAGAAACCAGCAAGTTCGTCACCATCAAGTAGATCATGTGCTGTTGATCGATGCTTTTCAAAGACAGCATCCACAGCAGATACATATGAATCATCCCGTGACTGTGCCTTGAAGATGAGGTCATACATCATATCAGTTACTATTGACATAGCTAACACTACTACCAATTTCATTTCAGTATCATCCTTAATAATTATCACTGCAACATTCTTGATTCTTTCAGAGCTTCCAACACAAGTGCCACCAAACTTACGAACATAACATAAGTTTCCTTTGGGAAGCTGAAATTCTTCCATCGATTTTTCCCCTGAAATATCTGTAAACATGAGAAAAAATAAATATTGACTGAATTTGTGTCTACAATTTCCAATTGCAACTCAAATTAGATTATAGATAGAACAGCTGACAAACCTGTAACTGAAGCCAACATGCGCGAATTTGAAGACTCCCATTTTCCCTGCTGTCCAAAGGCTATTCTGAAACATAAAACATAAAAAACAAAGCTAAAACAAGATATAAACTTTACAATCTACAAGAAATGTTCACAGAGCTACTTAAACTCTGCGTTATAAGTTCTGATATGTATATATATAATATTAAAGGATTCATTAGGAGCCTTCTCATTAACTCAACAATTATCAAATATACAGCTAGCGTAAGGCACCAAAGCGCATCAGTCAGAATCAGTTCCAAAGAAAATTAAAAGATTAATTTTTAACAGCAGAAAGCATCAAACTGCATTGATTTAAACCAGTTTCGAGGCAAACGAAATGATTTACAAGGATTGGAAGGAAGTTGAGAGAAAAGGCACTTTGAAAGCGAGTAATTAATTCAAAAATTATCAAAATCATAAAAACTCATCGTTTAGAAGTGATTCTGAAGCATCTTTTCAAAGAAAATATTCTAATTAATCCAAAAGTAATAAAAAATACAGACAGTGTCGCATTAAAGAGTATCAAAACACATTGTTGAGAATCATTGTTTGAGACAAATGAAAAGCTTTACCCGGACCTGGACTCATTAAATAATCATTCATACAAAATTTATTATCAAATACACATACATCAACAGCATCAAAATACACCATTCTGAAGCAAATGAATGACATTAACCTTAAAATGGAAGGAAGAAGAAAAGCAGCACTTTGAAAGAAATTCATCAAAGACATTTAGAAGTGATAATGGAGCATCTCTTTGAAGCAAATTCTCTAACTAATCTTAAAAAGTTAGAATCATCAAAAGTAAAGACATCGTTTAGAACCAAAAGCTCTAGCCGGACCCGGAGTCTTTTAATTCATTCAAATTACAAGATACATAGACATCCACAGCTTCAAAACGACAATTTAGAACAACATATAGCATCAAAACGCAGCATTTAAATGTCGTTTGGAAGCAAATGACGAGATTGATTCTCCAGGAAATGAAAGGAAGGAGAGACTCTAATTACTTAAATAATTATCAGAAGCATCTTAAACAACGAAACGTTTAGAAAAGAAAACTCTATGCCTTCCAGTTAATCCAAAAATTATTTGAAACATATTTTCAAAGCAAAAACTCTAATTAATCCAAAAATACAGACAGCAAATAGCACCAAAACGCAATGTTTTAGAATCAAGTCACGAGACACGGTAACAGAAAGACATCAAAAGCGCAGAAATGCACCGTTTTGAAGGGAATGAAACGGGAGGGAGAGGAGAGAAGGAGCGGCATTGAGGAGGACGAGAGATCTTGGTTCTGTTATGGTGAGCCAATGCGGCTGAAGATTGAAGAACTCGCGAAGAGATCGACGCGAAAAACGCCATTGTTTTGCTTTGCTTGGTACTTTGTCTCTGCAATTTTTGTTGCTATTATTTGGCGACTTTACTTTTGTAAAGAGCTGCTTCAACTTCACTGCACCATGCTAACTGATATTTGGTGGGTTACTATCAGATGCTAACTGATATTTGTCCTTGTAAATTAATCGCCTAAAAACCCAAAAAACACATAAAGCCCCTGTTTGTAACTAATTTTAAACCTTTTTCTAATGATATTTTTATTCAATAGAGCAAATGACTTATTAAACTTTATTTAAGATTTTAAAAATATAACATTTTATTGAGAGTAATTAGTTCACTAATTAGGAAAATGATATTGTAAGTTCTCAAAAATGGTAGTTTCTAAAATCGAGAACCAAATTTAAACTTTGGGTATCCTAACATTTTCCTTTTCACAAAAATATTTTGGATTAATTTGCATTTTTATTGACAAATTTACAAGGGATTTTAAAATTTTAGGGGTTTTTCTTACATAATCAATAAAATTTATAATAATTTTATGAGATAAAATATAATTTTCTTTCAAAAAAAAAAATGATGATATTAATACAACAAATTTTAAATAATTTAGATTAGGGTAGTCGTAAAACTCAAGAGCTAAACAAAATTCAAAGAAAAAGACCAAAATAGAACTTGCCTCTCAGCACCGCGAAGAGACACTCGTCTTTGTGACAGTGAAGATAAAGTAAAAATAAAAATAAGTAGGTCCACCTTCGGAAGGCACCAACACTCGTTTTGTTTTGGGAATGTTATATTAATAAAAAGATAAGTTAATTTAAAATTTCTATAAATTATATTAAATAGAGTAAATAATATATTCCCACTCGAGATTTGACGAAATCCTAAATTTGTACTTTTGGTTGCATTTATTCCAGATTCTCACCCTTAAATTATCAAAAAATTGTTTAATGTAACGGTAAAATGATAAATTGGTCTTTTTGTAGAGACGACACACGTTAGCAGATCACCGCCTCTAAAGTGCTTTGGCACACATTAGAAGATGTCGCCTACAATGTTTTTCGCCCTTTTTTAGAGCGTTTCCACCCAAAATCACCCTTATCACTACATTTGAACCTCCATCCTCCTCTCCACAAAACCTTACTGTTCACAACCCCTCATCACTCGTCGATCACCGGATAGGGAAGCCGCATCATGCAACTATTTTTTACTGGTTTCCAACCATTTTGAACAGTGACAACCCTAACCACCGCCACCATTTTACTCCTCGCATCCCCCTATAAAACCCTTAACCTTCCCGCCATGATAACTCATTGTTTGTCGTCCACCACTTCACCAAAAAACGCAATGAACATGAACATCTTGACCGGCGAATGGCGATGAAATGGTTGGTGGGGACACAGGGGTTTTGTAGAGTTGGAAACGATGGTTGCAGTGATGGTGTCTAATTGGATTTTTGCCACCGAAATTCAACAAAGAACAGCGAAACCTTGAACCTAACAACACCGGCAATCGGAGGGGCCAATGAGTTGGGAACCAAAGGGTTTTTAGACGACGGACTATGGGGAAGGTGATAGAGATTCAACACCGTCGGAAACAACTCAGATCAGGCAAAAACTGAGAGGGTGCATAGTCGTTGAGGGTATTATTGAAGTAATTGAAAATAAAATGGTTAATTTATAATCCTACTAATTTAGGAGTAAAAAAAAAATTATTAATCTATTTGTTAAGGGCATTATGGTAATAGAACCCTCTGTAATCTAAAAATTGTTAACAGTGTTACGTTAATGGTGGTTATCTGGAATAAATGCAACCAGAGTTATTAATGTAGGATTTTACCAAACCTTAGTTGAGAATATGTCGTTTACTATATATATATTATTAATAATATTATTAATTAAAGGTAAATTATAACAAGATTAAGTATTAATTTTGTAATACCTAATAAAGAAGGTGGTATTCAGATTTACACTAATAGGTGTGTTTGGATCGGAGGCATATAAGATAACAGGGTAATTTTTATTTATTTTGCAAAATTCTGATGTGTTGGTATGCAAGTAATAAAATATTACAGATATCGTTTATTACAAATACTGTTTACCATTGATAATGTAAGGGGTAATCCGATACCCTCCCCTAGGGCTATTATTAAAAGATTACTAGATAATTTGATTTTTATACCTATTTTGCCCTTAATTAAATACCATTTTAAACACAATTGCCCTCAAATATCTACCAAATAACCACTACCCAAATCTCTATATTTGAGAATTTAGCTAAAACACCATAGCCACAAAAAAGTGTAAAAGTTAACAAAATACCCCCACCCACCAAGACCACTGCCGGCTGCCAACATCAGTCGCCGTAATGGCGCAGACTGACAAGATATGGCCGGTCGTGCACTAGTAAGGCCTTTTCCAGCCATAGATCTGTGATCCATGACTGGAAATGGCCAGATCTAGCCGTTTCTATGGCCATGATGAGGCCGTGTAACAGCCATGGATTTGTGATCCATGGCCAAAAATGGCTTTGCTGAAGCACGATAGGTCATATACGGTCAATCTGCGCTATTTTGTCAATTGCCGACAGCGACCAGTGATGGTGTCTGGCTACTAGTAGTGGCTTGGGTGGGTGAGAGTGATTTTACTACAAATTAAAATTTTATATGGCTATAGTGTTTTAACAAAATTTTAAATGTAGGAGTTAAAAAAATAATAATAAGTAATATTATACTAATATTAAAAAAGGTGAGCAATTCAGTAACTTATATAATATACTTATTCATTTATCCTTCCAACCAAACATATTACCCACTAATTTATTCGAATCAATCAAACGTATTCCCTAAATAATCTCAATAATCTTCAAAGTGGTCAATCATTCCATTAATATAAGTATATAACATCCCAAGAATAGGATATTATAGGATCAAATGCACCCTATATAATTTACAGTTACTACTACTTAGAGGAGTACCGGATTTTTTATTATAAGATGACAAGGAGATTACCCCGATTCAAACGCACCCATGTTTCTCTGTTACTGTATTTGATTCCTGAAGTTGAACCATGTCAAGAAATCAAATCTAAGCTAACGTGAGATTAGAGGAATGTGTGGTAATGGCGATTACCAAATTGAATTTACGTGTCAATTCTAGTAACAAATTTGCAAATGAATGGCAAGAATTTCAACACGAGAACTCTTTAGATTTAGATCTTTACTACCCTCCACCAAACTTTACCACTTCTCTTCATTGTCTTCTTCTTCTGATTATAGTGAAGATAGAACGCTTTCTCTCTTTAAAGCGTGTCAAAACATAAAACAACTCTTTCAAATCCAATCTCATTTGATCACTTCTGGTCTTTTTTTCAACGGGCCATTTTGGACAATCAGGGTTCTAAAACATTCTTCGGATTTTGGAAATCTAGATTACACTATTTGGGTTTTTAAATGCATTGACAATCCTGGTACATTTGGTGTTAATGCTGTTATTAAAGCATACTCGAATAGTATTTTTCCTAACCAAGCGTCGTTTTTTATTTTAATATGATTGAGAATGGGTTTATACCAAATAGTTATAGCTTTGTTCCTCTTTTGGGCTCCTGTTCGAAGATGGGATGTAGTGGAAGAGGGGAAATGTGTCATGGTTTGGCTGCGAGTGTGAAGAATGGGGTTGATTTTGTATTGCCAGTGCAGAACTGTTTGATTCATATGTATGGTTGTTTTGGAGTTATAGATTATGCTGCGAAGGTTTTTGCTGAAATGTCTCAGAGGGACTTGATTTCGTGGAATTCACTAGTTGATGGGTGTGTGAGAGTGGGAAATTTGCGGGCTGCGCATCAACTGTTTGATGCAATGACTGAAAGAAATGTGGTTTCTTGGAATATCATGATTGGTGGTTATTCAAAGAGTGGAAACCCCGGCTGCTCTTTGAAGTTGTTTAGGGAAATGGTTAAGACTGGGTTTCGAGGAAGTGATACAACAATGGTGAGTGTGCTCACTGCTTGTGGTAAGTCAGCAAGATTGAAGGAAGGAAGTTCGGTTCATGGGTTTATCATCAGGGCTTCAGAAAAATCTAATGTAATTCTCGATACATCGCTGATAGATATGTATAGTAAATGCTGTAAGGTAGAGGTAGCGCAAAGAGTGTTTGATAATATGGAAATTAGGAATTTAGTTTGCTGGAATGCAATGATTTTGGGGCAACGGAAAACCAGAAGCTGGACTTAAATTATTTATGGCATTGGTGGATCAGACTGGAGCAGAAGGAAAGAGCATTTCTCCAGATGAAATCACTTTCATTGGTGTTCTGTGTGCTTGTGCGCGAGCAGAACTGTTGACAGAAGGAAGAAGTTGCTTCAATCAGATGATTGATTTGTATAAGATAAAGCCAAATTTTGCACATTTTTGGTGCCTCGCTAACCTTTACGCTGGTGCAGGGCTTATAGAAAAAGCTGAGGAAATGATAGGGAAGATGCCTGAAGACAAGGAATTGCCATCAGAATCATTGGTGTGGGTCAACATACTCAGTTCATGTTGTTTCCAAGGAGATGTGGCTTTAGGGAAAAGAATAGCAAAATATTTGATAGACATGGATCCTCATGATTTCTCTTACTATCGGTTGCTACTGAATATCTATGATGTGGCAGGTCGGAGGGAGGAAGTTGCTATGGTAAAAGAGCAAATGAAAGAAAGAAGGATGGGAAGAATACCCGGATGTGGTCTTGTAGACTTGAAAGAAATTTTTCACAAGTTAAAATTGGGATGTTTTAAGGAGAGGAAAGGAAGGGAAGGTCAACATGCAGAAATCAAGCTTGGTGACTGATATTTCAGAGCAGCAGCTACTGCCTGAGAAAGAGATTGGAAGTTAGCATCAAAACCAATTTTGGTGAGGATATAGGATACAGTACTGAACAGTGTCACTGTTGTCTCTACACGTTTCATTACAGAGTGATCTCTAGGGAGAATGATTATACAGAAAGATGCCAGTGTCTTCTAAAAGTTCTGAATAAGATTTACAATTTTGATGGGGCTAATGAGTGTAGTTGATGCCCAGCCGAGTGTACTCAACATTATTTGAAGAGTTTTGGCAATTATCAGTCGCTTGTGTTATACAAGATGTGAGCATAATGAGGGAAAACAGGCCTCGCGTTCAGCTTTTCACAACATGTATCCGCAAGTTGTAGAAGGGATTCCAGTTTTTTGACATGATGGTATCTGATTCTAAGTCAATTTTTTCTCGCTAATTTCATCTTGTTGTAGATTAAATTTATTCTTAATTTGATAATAATTCGGTCCTGTTTGATATGGACATGGAAACAATGTCATTTTTTCAATGTAGTTATCGCTATGGACAGAAGTAAAACTGTAGGCTGTTGAGGCATTTCACAAGTTTCATATCAAATAAGCTCCTCATGTAAGATTGCATATATTGAGCAGATGAATTGCAGCTTCCAAATACAGTCGCAATTATAAAATTTTATAAAGCAAATTCTTACCAAAGCATTAAAAATAGAAAGGGAAGGGGACCTCTTTTCTGCAGACTAGAGATGACCATTTTCATGTTGGGACGGTCCCCTCCCTGGCGGCAATATTGAACAAAATTTTTGGGTTGGGGCGGAGATGGGGATAAAAACTCATCCCCATATTTATTTCAAGGCAAGGATGGGGATTGCAAACCCCCTCACCAACACCGAAAAAATATTAAAAACATTTCTAAATTCATATTCTCATTACATTCAGTGCAGAACCAAGAAATTACACTTGGGAGCCAAAACATAAGGTTCAATGAACGTGGAGGCCAAACTATAAAAAATGTATTTAGGAAAATTGCATTTAAGGGGACAAAGGGTAAAATTTAATAGACAAGGGGGGTCAAAGGACATATGTAAAATTTCGGGGATAACATATATTTCTGAAAAAACGCCAAAATTTGTCTTGGTCTAGATGACCATAGCCCACCAGGCCCAAGGGCAGCAAAAGAAAGGAGCTTGTGTTATATAACTTTCATGAATGTGATTTCTATGGAGGGATGGCGATCCCCACCCCTAATGAAGGCAAGGGGAAAAGAAGACTATAGCCTTGACGACTTTATTAGATTAAAAGGGACTTTATAGAGTTTACCATTTCCAGCTCGAAGCTTAAATTTTTGATAGGACAGTGGCTGGACAACTTTAATAGCTTGTCCATAAATAGAATAAATTTGACTTGATGTTACAAAGTGGTCCTAAGCCGACGCTAATTGGTGAAACATGACCAAACAGGTAGGCAATTAAGACGTATTTTAGCTTTAAAAGATTGAAGTCAAAAACCAAAAACATAAGAAGAGTCAGAGAGAGCAGCACTAGGGATGTGTAACACATCCTTCCATTCCATGAGCTTTGCTCACTTTCATCTACAATAGATGAATTAGCATTAGCTCACTATCAAGATATCCCTGTTCACCGCTACCACCTGTTTGAAGGGGTCAGTAGTCACTACCACCCGTTTGAAGGGGTGAAATAGCATAAAGAAGAGGATGTCCAAAAGCTACTAGTCCGGACAGGATCCAATTATTATTTACATCTTAAGAAGGATCATAAGTTGTTAATTAAGTCTCTGGCATAGAGAAAGCAATCCAACTACTAGCTAATAGCCTAATATAACACAAAAGCATCCAGTGTTATTAGTAAAAACATATTTATAATAACCCACTTTACTCGAATGCCCACTGGTTCTCCCTACGGACCTCCTCCTCCTCCTCCGGGGTAAAGTCATTCTTGATGTTAAATGTCTTGCGAATCTCCTCGGGTGTCTTCCCCTTTATCATATCAGCAACAGTCTGGCAGGTGAGGTCCAGCAACCCCTTGATGTTCAAGTAGTTGGCAGCCTGCACAACAAAAAATAAAACATAAAACTGTTACAAAACTGAGGCACAACATAGCTGTGCCAATTCCGATAAGTGATCTAAAACAAACCCTAAACACCAAGAAAAATGTGAGAAAATAGACACAACGTTATACAAGAAAGTAAACTAAGATAGAAGTCTAGCACAACGCAACTACATTTACAATGCAATACCATCTGCAAGTTAATTTTCTCCAACCTCATTCATCGGCAATACAGGTTCTCTCCCGACTAAACCAACAGGCCCCAAAGTATTTTCAGCACCAAAGTAAAATTCCAAGTTCATACAGCTACAGAAACAAAAGACCAACCACTACTTCTCTTCGTAAAAACCAGAGAATAACATCCATAAAACAATGTGGCTACAACAAATTCCGTCCAGAGGATATATTTCAGCTTTCAAAGGTTTAATCAAACTAATTATTAAGTCCATAACACACCAGAAAAGAGTAATTTAAAAAAATAACAAAAAATTTCAATAAACAGAAACACATGACACATAAAATTACTACATTATGTTAGGGAACAAAAATCAAGAAACCCTAATTTGGAACATGAACCCCAATTTCGAAAAACTAACAGATCGAAGGAAGAAAAAAAAAAAGAGGTACTGACCAGAATGAGGTCAAAGAGAGTGGCCTGGTCAACCTTGACGAACTCAGCGTCCCAGTTCTTGAGCTCCTCCTCAGCAGCAGCCGAAGCAGCGGCAGCGGCAGCGGCAGCGTTGTTGTTGTTGAGGTGGTGAAGATGGTGGTTAATCTTATTGTTGGCAGCCTCGTTGAGCCTGGCCTCCACGTGCTTCCTGCTGTACTCGATGACCTTAGCGAGGATCCTGCTGGTAACGTTAGGTAACGGGATGCCGTTATCAGCGCAGTCGTCTTCGATCATGTGTTTGATAGTCTGAGATTCGAGGGCGACGGCTTCGTCGACCTCAAAAGGCTCGCCGTCAGAGCTCCTGAGGATGATCTTCCTTGGTGACGACATGGTATTGGTCGCAAAGTGGCGAAGGCTTCGCTGGCTTTCTTTGATTTTCTGGATTTGAAAAGAGAAGCGAATTGTAATGGAAAGGAAAGTCAGATCTGTTGGTTTATAATAAAAGGGCCGTGGACTATGGCCTATGGCTGCTATTACTTTGCAGGGATGCTTTTTGCTGTCGTTACCTGATTGGTTGACTGTTTGTTTTACGCCAATCATCTGCGACTGCATCTGATTTCTGTATCCCGCTTCTTTTCTTATTTCTTCCTTAAATCGTTTAAACAATGTTTTTCGAATCCTAATTCAAATTAACCTTTTTCAGTAAATTATTATTTTTAATTATTTTTTTTTTTTAAACAGTATGTAGGATGCTTTTCAAATGGACTTTCAATCCAAAACATTCCTCGTATATAGAGCTATGTGAAAAGGATTTGATTTCAACAGTTGAGAAAAAGAAACCAGTTGGTCATGATTGTTACTGAATTGACTGGTTTCAACAAATCACTGTAAGTCCTCATAGTCGCGAGTGGCAATATAAGTATAAAACTAGCAAGTAAGCCAATTCTTAACGACTAATGGATTAATACTATATTCACAAACTTTTTTCATTAATTTTTTTTTGTAAATGTAACGTACCAATTCATAATTGATTAGTTTATATTGGATTCTACCTGTCCAATAATAAGTCTCATCTGACTAAATATGAATTGACTAATTACAAACTACAAACTTCGCATTTATGAGAACAATTTGTAAGAAGTATTTTTCAACATATCTTTATTCATTCTCAACATGCACTTCTTTTTTCTTTTTTGATAAGGGTGTTCAAGCTAACTTGTACACACCTCAATTAATTTTCAGGATCCTAAAATTAACGATCGGTTAAACCCTCCGATGACAACCCACTAGTTTTAACAAGTCATTATAAATCCTCATAGTCGCAAGTGGGACTAGAACTACCAAGTAAACCAATTCTCAACATTTTTTTTTTTTTTTTTTTAATGATAAGGGTATGCCAACTTACACACTTCAACTAATTCCCAAAACCCTAAAGTTAATGGCTAGGTAAACCCTCCAATAGCAACTCCTGTTAGCAATCAAAGATAATCGAATTTAAGACCTCTTAAGTAATATATCCAAAAGTCTCCATCGTCGCACTTGATCACTTAAAAGGTGGTTAATACTCAACATCCTTAAGATACCAATCATTATTCCTTTTAAGAATAAGGGCCATGTATTGAGACACCTTGGGTCCATCATTTAACAAGTTTCATTTAATCAGCAACTGTTGTTTCCACTTTCCACCGCTAGATATTGATTATGGCTCCTTGGTTTTAAATGAGAACAAATTCTGAGTTGTAAGTTGTAACACGTGAATAACAACAGGCTGGCAAACTGCAATGAGATGTCCATTTTACCTAATCAATTAACAACATTCCTATCTTTCTTTTCTTACTGTTTCTTGACAACTAAGGAAATGACCAATTCTTCACCATTTAAAAAGTAAAAATCAAAAATGTCTATGGATGAAGCTGATATAGATTTTTATATGCTCAACTTTAAATTAACAGCTAAATGCATAGTTGAGTATGCATAGCTTCAACCAATCACCCAACTGATGTGCCCATGGCATAAATAAGACACGGCCTATATGTTAAATCTAGAGTCTAGACTAACCACCAAATAATAGAGGTGAAATTTCATCAAGATTTCGTGGCTGGCCGGCTAGAGTTAGGTCATCCATGGAAATATGGATCCCGGATTATTCAAGTCAATGGTTAGCCAACATGAGTACATAATAAAACCAGGTAATTAACTCAAACAACACTATACCTTAAAAAAATAGTCTATGATACATCATTTGTGAAATGTGGAGATTACTTTACATAGGGGTGAACTCATGGTGCAGAAGCATTCTCAATACAAGTTTTATATCACAGTGGCAACTAGCTGTTACCTCTATTTTGGCTTTTGGAAGTCGATGAATCTCCAACCAGCAGCTAAATCGAGATTTCATTAGGTCATTATGATTCCATGAATTGTAAGGGTGGGGGGCTCGTTTTTGTCTTCTCAGGACCTGCAAGTTGGTTTTATACCAACATGAAAAGAGGGAAAATTGTGACAAAAATCCATGAAATAGAAGGGCATAAGGAACCTCCAAGACAGATGATGCAACATGACTTGGTATCCTCAAACTTAGTAACAGAATCACCTGTGCTCAGTACCAGAGATATGGACAATGGATCTAGAAGAGATCGTGCATTTTACAAAAAGAAGTGAAGCACTAGCATAGGACATACCATAGATGCCACGGATTTCCACTTCTCGCCATTCTTGGACAAGAGCACAGCAGCAACACATCAAATGTGACAAGAAATCATCAACAAACCCACCCTGCGAAAGGAGGAGACAATAAGCAGATTATATGGGAAACAAATTAAAGAAAGATCAAGTTTTGGACTTTAGGATTAATTATATGGGACTAAATCCTCCATCAACACTCATCCTAATGTATGGTCTTGCAAGTAGAAGATCATTGAGTGCAATTTTCAGCAAGAAAAATGATTTTTAAAATCTGCTACAAGCATGTTTTTCTTGTTTTCATTTTCCCATTCTTTATGCTGATTCAACGTCCCCTATAAGTCTTAAAGGGGTCTGCTTATGTTAAATGCTTCTGAAATGATCAATCTTTTGCATTTAGATCAAGGTGGCAATGGATACACCATATTTACAGTGAGGCACACAAACAGGAGAATAAACAACAGCAGCCGCATCCAGAGGTTTTTTTCCTAATCTATTTTGACTAACAGAAGAGATCATGATCATGCAGTGCAGAGAATTAGTACCGTGATGTTCAATGTCTTACGAAGCTTCCTTCTAACGCAGCAGTGTAGCAACAGCATGATAATATCAACGAGTTATGCCATGAGTTCATTACATGCCTCTGCAGAAGCTGATGAATACAGAACCACAATTATAACATGTAAGCTTTTAAGTGATATAGCCACAGAAATTTCAAAAATGTTGGTCAATATGATAGAAAAATCATAAAACTGAAAATTCATATGATTCATGCATAGGATCATCATTTTAGATCCATTACCAATGAACTGAAATATTGCATGCAACTTTTCTAAATTGTCGATCAGATCAGAAATTAATATAGTCAAACCCTGTAAAAATTAATCACAAGTTTCAATAACTGGTTACCATGTCTCCTAACAGTCAAGGCAGCACCAAAAAAATATCAGGAACTTCTAACTGAGATGTACATGGTGATCGAAGTAATCTGAAAAAATCCTCAAATCTAACATGTCTCCTCCACTGAGCCAGCTAAACCAGGTTGCATCTTTACAAACTAGTGAGCAACAGAATTCAGAAACCTGATGATCCTGACTATGACCAACTTTACACAATTAATAATCAGCATCAGTTTTTTTTTTTTTTTCCAATTCTTTGGGCCAAAGGTACCAGTGGAGCCTTCAAATTCTAAAGAGAATGCTAGATCACTAACACTGAAGATGAAATCAAGGTCTGATTACCTAGTCTTCCAGACAATTATGTCACTAAAGAACCTTTGCTCCATGAGGCATCCAAAGCAATTTATAGCCCTTTTACATAAAATTGTAACATCTGTAACTCAAATTGGCTTAAAGTGACTATAAGCAAAAGAGTATGCAGATAGTGTGATATATCTAGCGAGTTCTTTTTAGTGGGTCAAGCATCTTGGAGCATTAACTTGTGTTTTGAAAGGGAACATTTGAATACGTTTAGCTGTTGGTGTAATCAAGATTTTAACATGATCAGAATATTCCAAGTTAAACTTTAAACTAAAAAGTTTGCACAAGCAACAAAATACAAAACAATATGGAAAATTCCTACAAAAATTACATGAGCCAAAATATGTTCAAGTTAGCAGATTGGGCCTAAATGCCCAGGTTCTAATTCTATCACATCTAAACACAGGATAGGCAACTATAGTTTGAAACTGACCCAGGTTAGAAACTACTTACAAATGTGCCTGTTATTCGCCACAGTTGCAATTTTGATAATGTGCCACAAGGATAGAATAACGTCTTTATACCTGCAATGGGGACAAGCTGCTTAGACACTGAGCAAATATTTGGAATATACAAGATTTCAGTTCAGCAGCATATATTTCTCAATCTATCATCTACAGGATGTGACTCTAGTCATAGAGTTGAAAGAGACAAATGAAATTAGGTATAGACTTCACCTTCATGATTGGTAGGAGGTGCAATAATGTAGCTATGTAAAAACAAAGGCATATTACCAGATTTCAATGTTACAGCTAAACAGAAATGCAATGGCATGAAACACCACCATATGATATTGACTACTCTACAAAATCACTTTCCAAAAGATAATCTAAAGTGATCACACGCGAGAGGACATACACAGAAGAGGTCAGAACAACAGCCGAGCAGATCACTATGCCATTCTTCATGCTGAAAAGACCCCTTCTTGACTAGATCCTGTCCTGATGAACTGAAGATGTGTTTCTGAACAGAAAAGGTGGCATCACACTTTCAGCATCCTTTGTTATACTAGCTACAGTATCAAAATTTTAACATGCAAACAAACAGATGCTAAAGGACAATAGAATACATATGAACTCTATAGGCACAGCCTAAATCCCAACTGCTTCAGATAAAACTAGTCACATTTTAGATCCTGTGTATCAATTCAAACCACATTATCCAGTCAAAAGTGCAGTTACTTTTTGGTATATTAAAATTATGTTTTGATACATATTATAGAACAAAATATATGAAAAATATAATCAAGGTGATATATACAGACTACCCCACATGCTAACATGAGCACCATTATTAACTGTATGTGAATTCAACCTAAGAGGCATAAAAGCAGAAAAGAATATATAACCTGGAAGTCGTGCGAGAATCAACTTTTTTAGGAGAGTGCTCATCATACGTAATGTTGCTCACTATCAGCATCAGAATAGTTGCGCTCTACTTTCTTAAAACTTTTTTGGGGAACTCTCTTCCGAAGAGGACTTGCTGCAACAGTTTCTGTAACACAATCAAACGCTGATCACTTCAACCTGGTTCACATCCATATTAGCCTGTGATAGTTGCAATTCTGTTGAAGCTTTTCATTTTCCTTTTTCAATATTTCATTAAACCCCATTTTTGGGTAGGAAGAAGATAAAGTCTTTTTAAGAACCATAGTTTCATGTTTTGAAGGTTCCCTATGCAGGATAGCAGTTTGCAACTTTTGGTCCTCCTCATCCAATGTGTATTCGCATTGATCCTTCTCAATATATTCCAGTCTCTCCTGTCAAGTATCAGATAATCTAAAATTATTCAGCTCAAAGATTATGTTATAAACATCACCACCACATACTATCAAGGAAACTAAAAGATCCAACAGAGTGATCTTATGATCAACTTCCATAATTACAAGACCCACACATTCTACAATATAATGCAAAACAATACGTTATCAATCTTTGATGCAGAACAATACGAAACAGAGTTGCATGTACTCACACAAAGAAATGCAATCCACAATCGCTCGTCAAACTGGAAGCATCAAAGGTGGTCATCCCATCAAATCCCACAGGTGATTTCTCAATATTCCATGTAAGTCCAATTGACCCACTGAACTTTCTTTCCGTAATTAAAATTTTCATGAAACCCGAGTCTAATTGAATCCAAGAAAAAAAATATTACGCAAGAGCGGGTTAATCATTTCGTCACAAGTCTTTGACAAAGCAAACCAGTAATAACTTTTGTAAACATATAAAAGCTTCTACAAATACTAAAACAGTCTTCATTTGATAGTAAAAAGGAGGAGCCAAGAACAATCAATACCCTCACTCGAGCATTATCAACAAGAGTAATAAGAGGAACAATCTTCAAATATCGATCAATCTCATTCTGCGCCTTCCGAACTGATACACGATGTTCCACCCATGGCAAGGAGATAAAGATAGCTCCGGTCCTGACACTTTTACAAATGTAAGACCTTCTAAGGGCGTCCTCAAGCTGCTCAAAGGCTCACGTGTCTCCGGGTACTTCTTAAGCTCCGAGATCCTGAGCTGCTCCAGCAAGTTCCCTATCAACTTCAAGTGCTGCGCAAATTGCCTGCAGTTCTTTTTGTGCATTCTAGCCGTCCTTGCAGCTTTACTATCATTCCTATCAGTCGAACCGCATCAATGCCCGTGAGTTGGGCGACATTCGCTATCTCTCCAAATGTTCCCAAGATGACATTTATCTAGCTGAAGAAATGAACTTTCAAGCAATGATTTCCAGGAAATTTTGAAAATGTCACGATTTTACATTTTTTTTTTTTTTTTTTTTGAGTTTTAATTTTTACCTCTTCTAAGTCTAAGCACTAGCCAGTATCAGAAAATAAGAACGTCGTATTTGCTAAAGTTTCTCCAGTTGCATTGTCAGAAGGAAGAGCTGAGCTTAAGATCTCTCCGCCATGGCGCTCTGACTCGGTATCATCGATGTTTCAGAGAATCCGGTAAAAGATCTACAGTGGAGATATCAGCTGCAAACAAGTGTAAATTGAGATACCAAATCTTGAAAATTATCCATTACGCAACCAATGTCAACTTCTCACAAAAAGAAAAAAAAATTAAAAAAAGAAAAAGAAAAAAAGCAAACAATTAAACAAAAGATATCCTCACTTAATTCTCTTCAGCTGAAGAGAGAAAAATAATAAATTTTATCCAATTAATGCAAATGCTCGTGACATACTCACAAACTCCAGAGTTGTTTATTTTGAAGAGTCAATCCGAAAAAGAAGAAGAAGCATTGAATTCTGCGATTAAGAGACATTGCTTTGCGCAGAAGCAGTTTCTTCTTCTCAGTGATGGATTTGGACGATTATGAGCGAGTGAGGCTCAAATCTCACTCTCAATCTCTCAACCTTTCAATCTCTCTCTGTCTCTCTCTCTCTCTCTCTCTTATCGGTCACAGTTTCGGTGTATTTTTGTCTCTCTATTCAGTTCACGCACAGAGTGCCACATTCACCAAACCAGACAAACAGCATTTGTGGTGGAGAACAGATGAAAGGACACATGCCCCTCCTTTGCGTTGCGTCCTTCACGGGGCGACTGTTTGTACGAAATTAATATTTTACCCTTTAGGTTTGAGTTTGACTAATACACCAAGATGATTCAGAAAATACAAAGTCGCCCAATTCGTAACAAAAAAGACTAAAATACCCTAAATTATTGCTTTTAAGTTTCTTATTTTATTATCTATATTATTTTTTTATTAAATTTTCATGTGTGTTGAGATGGATTTGGAAGATGATAATTGATTTTACTAAATTTTTATAAAAATTAAAATAATTTATTTATTTTTACAATTTTTTAAATAAACCCACTATCCCTTTTAAAGTTAACATAATAATGTTAAAGATTATTTATCTTTTTATGAATTCCTAAATGAAATCTATTATCATCTTTCAAATATTATATTTAAACATATAAATTAAATGAATTCAAATAAGAAACCTAAAAATGATCATTTAGGGCATTTTAGTCTTTAGGTACCATTTGGGTGAAATTGTCACTTTTGAAATCTTCTTGACATAATGGAATTAACTCAAACCTCATAGGTAAAAATTTTTAATCTGGGTTGAGTTGACTCTTAGCAAGATTTCAGATCAAAGACAAAGTGCAATGAAGATTGCCAGGGCCAGCTGGCAATTTATCGGTGAGATAAAATTAAATGTACAACAAGATTAATTACTTTGACTAACGTGTCCATGCCATGGGTAAAGCCGCCCTATTGGTTCTTAAAAAGGCTAGTTAAGACATGATCATGATGGTTAGTGGAATTAGTTTAGAGGTTTAATTCGATTTTTTTGTGTAATTAAATTATGTTTAATATGTTAAATACGTATGTTGAGTACGTAGTATGCAATTCATGAATAAGTGTTTTTAGATGT